GTATCCACTCCAGTTTTTAGAGGGAGTGTACGGAAACTCTGTGCGCATTTATTTACAAGAGTCTTCGAACTCCTCCATGAAAGAAAGTTCCAAAATTTTTACGAAATGCTTTCCAAAAAAACACACCTCTAGCTTGAAGCAGAAGAAAATCGAAATACACAGTGCGCAATTGGTTACGTTCAGTAGCCAATAAGAAAACAAGAATTTCCATCCGCCTCGTGGGTATTTATGTTCAGTTCAAAGCTCAACAGACAGAACGGCTGTACCGTTCTCGACACGACAAAGTACAACTAAAGTTGCTCTTGTAAAAGCTACTAAGCACAAAGCCAACCCGGCAACTGATGAGGTTCGTGAGGAGAACCGAAACCATGGTCTTGCCTGCTCACAAACTGTGGCAATAACAAAACAGTTTAAAGACTGTTAAGCTTATTCAAAGCTATTGCCAAGGGAGGAACTACGCGCTCCAGTCAAAAGACTCACACTATCTTTAGTAAAACACTAAGCTGGAGTTTACTGAGTCACAATTCAATTCTCCATAGTAGGTTTATGTAGCTTCAGTTTAAGCTGCAGTTCACTCTTATAATTTTGGATCTGTAAGTCACTATCCCTGATAATTTAACATTCTACAAAGAAAACTGACGAGCTGGGCCCAGCGTGATATAGCATTGCAGAAAAACATTGCACTTACGGACTAAAGAAAATTGCTTACATCAGATCCAGAAGGCACTTTGAAGAAAATTGGAACCTTTATTCACCCGTAATAAAAAAGCTTTACGCTTCCAAAGAGGTCAAAGAAAATGCGCTTGAACCAGAGGGCAAATCCTGCCGACCAGAAAACAATAACTACAGTCAATCGATATAAGTCATGACCTCTCAGTGCGAGACATGCGGCTAAAACCACATTTGCCCAGTAAAATGCAGAACCTTCCAGAGCATAATCTACCCAGCAGATAAAAACAACTTTATTGGAATAAGCAGCATTTTGGCATGAGGGAAAAGTCGTGTAGGCCTACCACCCCCTTTAATTGCTACGATTTGTTTACGGGTAGGCCCCGTTTTACCTTATGAAAATCAACACTGCCACTAACAAGAACCAGGCACAGAGTAGAAAGTTCAACATTGCACAACTAACAAGGAACGTATCCACTCCAGTTTTTAGAGGGATCGTAAGGGAACTCTGTACGCATTTATTTACAAGAGTCTTCGAACTCCTCCATGAAAGAAAGTGCCTAAATTTTCACGAAATGCTTTCCAAAAAAAACACACCTCTAGCTTGAAGCAGAAGAGGATCGAAATACACAGTGCGCAATTGGTTACGTTCAGTAGCCAATAAGAAAACAAGAATTTCCATCCGCCACGTGGGTATTTATGTTCAGTTCAAAGCTCAACAGACAGAACGGCTGTACCGTTCTCGCCACGACAAAGTACAACTAAAGTTGCTCTTGTAAAAGCGACTAAGCACAAAGCCAACCCGGCAACTGATGAGGCTCGTGAGGTGAACCGAAACCATGGTCTTGCCTGATCACGGACTGTGGCAATAACAACACAGTTTAAAGACTGTTAAGCTTATTCAAAGCTATTACCAAGGGAGGAACTACGCACTCCAGTCAAAAGACTCACACTATCTTTAGTAAAACACTAAGCTGGAGTTTACTAAGTCACAATTCAATTCTCCATAGTAGGTTTATGTAGCTTCAGTTTAAGCTGCAGTTCACTCTTATAATTTTGGATCTGTAAGTCACTATACGTGATAATTTAACATTCTGCAAAGAAAACTGACGAGCTGGGCCCAGCGTGATATAGCATTGCAGAAAAACATTACACTCACGGACTATAGAAAATCGCTTAGATCAGATCCAGGAGGCACTTTGGAGAGAATTGGAACCCTTATTAAGCCGTACTAAAAAAGCTATACGCTTCCAAAGAGGTCAAAGAAAATGCGCTTGCACCAGAGGGCAAATCCTGCCGACCAGAAAACAATAACTACAGTCAATCGATATAAATGTCATGACCTCTCAGTGTGAAACATGCGGCTAAAAGCACATTTGCTCAGTAAAATGCAGAACCTACGAGAGCATAATCTACCCAGCAGATAAAAACAACTTTATTGGAATAAGCAGCATTTTGGCATGAGGTAAAAGTCGTGTAGGCCTACCACCTCCTTCTATTGCTATGATTCGTTTACGGGTAGGCCCCGTTTTACCTTATGAAAATCAACACTGCCACTAACTAGAACCAAGTACAGAGTAGAAAGTTCAGCATTGCACAACTAACAAGGAACGTATCCACTCCAGTTTTTAGAGGGAGTGTACGGAAACTCTGTACGCATTTATTTACAAGAGTCTTCGAACTCCTCCATGAAAGAAAGTGCCTAAATTTTCACGAAATGCTTTCCAAAAAAACACATCTCTAGCTTGAAGCAGAAGAGGATCGAAATACACAGTGCGCAATTGGTTACGTTCAGTAGCCAATAAGAAAACAAGAATTTCCATCCGCCACGTGGGTATTTATGTTCAGTTCAAAGCTCAACAGACAGAACGGCTGTACCGTTCTCGCCACGACGAAGTACAACTAAAGTTGCTCTTGTAAAAGCGACTAAGCACAAAGCCAACCCGGCAACTGATGAGGTTCGTGAGGAGAACCGAAACCATGGTCTTGCCTGATCACAGACTGTGGCAATAACAAAACAGTTTAAAGACTCTTAAGCTTATTCAAAGCTATTACCAAGGGAGGAACTACGCGCTCCAGTCAAAAGACTCACACTATCTTTAGTAAAACACTAAGCTGGAGTTTACTGAGTCACAATTCAATTCTCCACAGTAAGTTTATGTAGCTTCAGTTTAAGCTGCAGTTCACTCTTATAATTTTGGATCTGTAAGTCACTATCCGTGATAATTTAACATTCTGCGAAGAAAACTGACGAGCTGGGCCCAGCGTGATATAGCATTGCAGAAAAACATTACACTCACGGACTATAGAAAATCGCTTAGATCAGATGCAGAAGACACTTTGGAGAAAATTGGAACCCTTATTCAGCCGTAATAAAAAAGCTTTACGCTTCAAAAGAGGTCAAAGAAAATGCGCTTTCACCAGAGGGCAAATCCTGCCGACCAGAAAACAATAACTACAGTCAATCGATATAAATGTCATGACCTCTCAGTGTGAAACATGCGGCTAAAAGCACATTTGCTCAGTAAAATGCAGAACCTTCCAGAGCATAATCTACCCAGCAGATAAAAACAACTTTATTGGAATAAGCAGCATTTTGGCATGAGGTAAAAGTCGTGGAGGCCTACCACCCCCTTTTATTGCTAGAAACTTAAATACCTGACTTCAAATCACTTTCACACGATACTTTAATATCTCTTCTTATCAATTCTTCTGATTATTTAATGAACTGTCAATTAGTTTCATTTATCTCTCAATGCTTTGAATTAAGAACCAAAATAATATGAATGAATGAGTGAATGAATGAATGAGAACTGTAACGTTTTGTAATGTTTTGCACGTACTAATTAGTTGAATTAGTACTTAAATTTAGACTAATAGCTTTTGCAATACTGTAATTCTTTTATGGTCATGCAAATAAAGTATTTGTTGTTGTTATAACAGGTAGCTGATGGGTTAACTTTTTTACACAAGGAATGATACACATCAGGCAGAGAAAAGTTTCAGTACGAGTAAACTTTGTCTCTTGATCTTTCACAACCACATAACTAACAATTTATAAAACAGCCGTTATGCCACACTTCACATACTGTAGTCTCGTTTGGCACTTCTGTAAGGCTAGTGATAGGCGAAAACAGGATCGCATTAACGAAAGGGGCCTGTCTGAAATGACTGGTCAGTATCGTACGATTACCTCCTAAGCAGAGCAAAAATGACAACACTTTATAAGCGGAGGCTTCAGGGTATAGCCATTTTCGTGTTCAAAATAAAGCACGGCATGTTGCCAAGCTCAGTAACCGAACTATTTAACACTAGTCACACAAGCTATAACCTCAGAAACGCAGACTTCAGACAGGAATGTTTCAACGCTACAAAATGCGGCAAACACTCTCTCAGGCATTTTGGGCCACTTCTTTGGTCCAAAATTAACCGGGAGTAAGATCAGCACCTACACTCACTAACTTTAAAAAAGGCATCAGAAAGACAGACATTGCCTCGTTAATAGATAACTCGTGTAACGACTGTGTCCTTTGCAAGAGTTAGCATTAGTTCGCTTCACTATTTTTCTCTTTTTTAGAGTTACTCAATTTTCGATTCAGAGATATTATTAGGTAGTTATTTATTAGAACTAGAATTTAGAGTTTAAATTAGAATTAGAATTTACAATATATTACTAGAGTTTTGTATATATGATACAGTCTCCCGAATTAGTAAGGCATTGTGCCTGAGCTATAAAACATGAGACTTAAAAAAAGTTCATTATTATTATTATTATTACTCTCATCAGTAATTACATAATTAGACCATTACCACTGAAAACATTGGCTATCAACTTGATATTCTACATACTAGGATCCGTCAACAAATAACATCGCTTTTTCATGGTACTTGCTGTCTTCTTAAAAAGCTAACACATTTTTTACCATCAATTGAATTCCAAAAATAATGGTCCAGTTTTGTCATTTAGGACAAAAGACTATAGAGACTATAGACAAAAATGAGGACAAAAAAAAATTAGGAAATTAGTCATTTAGGACAAAAGACTATATTTAGGCATTGAAACTATTTCATGTCGTCTGTGTCAACGGATAGAAAGGATGGACATGGATTGAAACTTGAACAAGTTGGGCCACCTTTTTATTCTATACCTGCAGAATCACCAAAAAATATTATGGTTGGTGCTCCTTAATGACATTTGTTTAATTGAAATCTTCTACATAGCTCTGCTACAGGATCATTTTGCATAAGGGTAAAGCATTAAGCAATGACTTCAGCACAGACCTTGACCCAAAACAGCAAAATTTTCGTAGTTATTAGCCCCTTTAAATTTGTCAACTTACCTGGAAAATGTGCGTCAAGTGAAAGAAGGCCACCACCGTGGCACTTGCATACAACACATCGGCTATTACGAAAACTTGTTCCCGTGGATTCCATTTACCAAAACGTCGCCAAGAGATCATCCACATTGCATAACTCACAAGAAAGGTCAAGATTATAATCGTGTCCACAATATTCCACCATTTTGACATATAAACATAGCATCCCTGTCTTTTTGCCTCTAAGTATTCCTGCACCAGAAAACCCAAGACAAAGAAAGATATCACGTAATCTGAAAAGAAAAGAGAAATTCATAATGACTGATCACGATTGGTTTGACTTATGTAATTCGGCTTTTCCCGCTGAATAAGCTGGTATGGTAGGGAGCATACAGTGGTAAGTGTAGTGTTTTACGGATTTAACCAAGGATTGATTCGGATTTAACCACTAATTACCATTGCTAACTCGTGCATACATGTGTATTCTAATCATACCAGTCAGAGGGCAACGATTACTCAAACATGGGGGGTGGGGACGGTAGAGCTAAATATTTACATATCCTGCAGTAAGCTTAACTGTTTAAAAAGAAAAGAGAAGAAGACCTTCGCCCCACAATGTGCTCAGATATTGCAAGTGATCTTTACTCAGTCTTATGTAAGTGGCAACCTCCCTGAGGAGTGGAAGAAGGCACTTGTTTCTCCTGTGTTTAAGAAGGATGATAAATCCTTGCCAAATTACTATAGGCCAATCTCCTTGACATGCATCTCGTGTAAAATCATCGAACATGTTCTGTGCAGCCATTAATCTAACCATCTCGAGATCAATAATATCCTTACTCCTCACCAACATGGCTTTCGGAAAGGGTTCTCTACTGAAACCAAGCTTATCTCCGTCCTTGACGATTGGTTGTCTTCGCTGTACAAACAAACCATGACAGACGTACTTTTAATTGACTTTTCAAAGGCCTTTGACTCAGTTCCCCACCAGAGACTCCTACTTAAACTTAATTATTATGGCATCACTGGTAACAGTCTTTCTTGGATCGAGAACTTCCTACTAGATCGCACTCAGTATGTCCAGGTCTCTGGCCCAAGGTCTTCTTGGATTAGTGTTACCCCTGGTGTCCCTCAAGACACAGTCATAGGTCCCCTCCTGTTTCTGATTTACATCAATGATATTGTACATAACCTTAACTCTAAATTAAGTTATTTGCTGATGATGCTGTTCTCAAATGTTTATGATGTCAGTTTATTCCAACAAGACCTAGACACTCTATCCTGCTGGGCTGCTACTTGGCAAATGAATTTTAATTTAACTAAACATAACATCATGTCAATTACTAGGTCTCCCCTTAACTTTCCAGCTGTTTACAGGCTCTTTAATATCCCACTAGAATCAATTTTTTGCCATAAATATTTTGGTGTTTTGATGCACGATAACCTAGAATGGGACTCTCATGTAAAATCTGTGAAAAACAAAGCTATGAAGATACTGGGTCTATTACGTAGAAATTTTTCAGGAAGCAGCCAGTATGTTAAGACCCAAGCATACAACTCTCTCGTGAGACCCCATGTAGAATATACGTCAGATGCCTGGAGCCCTTTTGAAAAACAACACATAAAAGCGTTAGAGGCTGTCCAATGCTGCGCTATAAGATTTGTCTGTTCAGATTATTCACAGTTTTCCAGCGTAACTACTATGCAGCATTCGCTGGGCTGGGACACTCTTGAAGTCCGTCGACATCTAAACACCGCTACCATAATGTATAAAGCTGTGCACAACTGGACTCACTTAACATTTCCAGCATCTGTCATCTTAGCTCATAGAAGAGGGTCTGAATGGGGGGGTCCACTTGTCGGTTGTCGATTAAAATTCAGTAATTTTGTCGGTAGTCGGTTAAACTTTTCGATTTTCGCCGGTTGTCGGAAAATCTCAGTTAATAAGTAAAAACGCTTGTTAATTATTAATATTTTTATGTATTTCCCCACTTTTCAAGACTTTGATCCCTAAGGAAAGAGTAAAACTTGCAAGAATGCATCATTTGATTGCGCCTAAACCGTTCATTAACTCTTGATTTTTATGAAACATGAACGTTTATTTCATCATTGTTTGCCATTAAATGAATAATTAGTACTGACAAAATCACCCAAGCCTTTATTGTAAATGCGAACTTGGTTTCCTTGTCGACTACAGGGCACAGTAAAAAGTAATTAATTAATTACTTACTGGACTCTAGCCTTTTGGATACTTAAATTATTTTTATTGAAAAACTGCAAGGGATGACAGGCTGCACATCCATCCCTCTCATGTTTTGATTCTAACAAGCATGTCCTTTGCCATAATTTTCCTTTCTCAAAGAAATAGCACTTTAGGTGGTTCTTTAAAATTTTGGCAAGGTAGTGGTTGGTTTTGTATGAGATTCCACTTTTTCATTAAAGCTTCTTTTTCATAGACACTAAGGGCTGGTATTGTGTCACGAAAGGCAATATTTCAGTCTTTTTCTTCCGGGTTGTTTTTTTTTCAGGAGCGCTGCCTTCCTTTCTGTGAGTTTTACCTCTAATAGCAATTTTTCTTTCAAAACTGTGTGGTTAGCCCCTGTCCATCAAGCGCTTTTGAAATCTGAAATACTTCCTCAGAGGAGTTTGTTCCTAGGATTCTCAAGGCTTCTCGTTTGTCAAACAGGCGCTTTAACAATTGGTGGGTGATAAGAGGTGAAAATGTATATACTGTAAGGTTTCCGTTTCAAATGCGTCTTTACGTCAAGGATAGCTTTTTCTCATTTTTTCGCTGAATGTTGTACCTTGGTATACAACCGTTTGTAAAAAGAATGTCTCATTTTCAGATCTTTCGGCCGTGAATTTCATAGGAGGGCATGTAAGTTTACTTATTCCGCGAAGAAACCTACGATGTCTGGTTTACTTATGTCCCATAGGGAAAAAATGTCATTTATGTAGCGTTTTCAAACAGTTGGTTTAAAGACGGTTTCGCTTAAACTTTGTGTTTCAATATGTGCCATGAAAATGTTGGAAAGGAAACTGCTGTCTTTGTGCTCATCGCGGTAACGTGGGTTTGTACTGATAGTTCTTTACATTAAACGGGAAAGAATTTTCTTTGAGGATTAATCTAAGCAAAAAACGTTCGGTTTTTTTCACCTTTGACTTTTCAATAAAATTTATAAAGTCGGTAGCATCTTTAAGGTGTGACTTTGTGATTCTGGTATTGACTGTAGCAATGTACCTGTATCAGCAACAAAAAAAGGAAATTCTTTCCCTTAGGCCATCTGACGAGTCATAAATTTAAAGAGGTTACTTAATTCCTCGAGCTAACGGTTAGATTAAATACAAAATGCTCTTTTTTCTGGAAACAAATATTGATAATATCAGCCCATGTCGGTAGTCGGTTAATATTTTTCCTGTCGGTAATTTTTTACTCATTTTGTCGGTAGTCAGTAACATTTTTCGCCCTCTGTCGCTAGTCGGTAACGTTAACCCCATTCACACCCTCATAGAAGGAATGGCTCTAACCATCCTCATAAGTTCAGACATATCTTTGCTCGCACCAATGCATATAAGTTTTCCTTTTTCCCACTTGTTATCCCCCTTTGAAATGGCCTTCCCAACTGTCTGCTGTTAATGCTGAGTCTGTTACTGACTTCCAAGCGAATGCTTTGCCATCCATAGGACAATATTGAAATGCAATGTAAATATTTATTTGTTGTAAATAACTTAATTTAGTTTGTTTTTTTTTGCCTCCTTTTCTATTTCGTAGCTGACTGTTTTAGCATCCTGTATAGTCACATGACTTCTAGGATTAATAAAAATGTACGTATGTATGTATGTATGTAAGAGGCTGTGCCACGTATGGCAAGCCAAATGTAGCAATATTCAATTCGTTTAATTTTTTATGTAATTTTGTATTATGTATTCAACTATGCGTTTTATATTCAACTTATATTCATCATTCAACGCGTTATTCAATATTCAACTTTCCATTCAACATTCAGCTATTCATTTTAATTTCAGTTCTTCATTTACCCATTCAATTATCTATTCAACAACTTCAACTATTTGTTCAAAATTCAACTATTCGTTCAACATTCAATTATTCATTCAACATTCAACTACTCATTCAACATTCAACTATTCGTTTCAGTTCATTAAGTCTTTTGAGCCCTCTCTACTTCTGATCAGTGACGCATATTATTGCTTGTTAAAAACATGGCAGCGGCGGCGGCTAGAATGCCGGCTAAGGACATAGAATCTCGTAAAGGTGAAACAAGTCTCCACTTCGATGCGAAGTCTGACCTTTCATGGTTTCTTGACTCTGTTCTTCAAAAAAACTGACTAGATTTCCCTGTCATCAGACAGTTTACTAAACGACCAAAAATCTTCTAAACCATAATCTTTGATCCTTCTTTATATAGTCCAACGAGATACTCCCAACATCTGCGCCATTCTAGTGTAAGTAATTCCGAAAACGGATCGAAATCCACCAATCACGAATCACAAACCATGACCTTTTGAACCTGAACAAGCAAACATGTGTTTCCTGAGAGGTCTGCTAAGATGATTGACGGAACCCAAAAACCCTTCGAAGTTTGCAAAACGCACAGCGCGATACAACAAATTTCGCTACAAGTTGTTGTTTTTTGATCGACTCGTTCTCCTCACACTTCGGAATGAATTTCCTTTAAAACGGATTGCGGTATTGGAGTCAAAATTTCACTTTGAGATTAAAGATCAAGATTTTCTGACGGCTGGTAACCTCACTTAAGGTGTTTCGACACAGTTTTTCAGAGGCCATACCGATATTTTTCAATCGCCTGAAAAGTGTTTTTTTTCCTTGTCCGATCGCTATAAAATTTTCACCAGTAATTGGCTACGGATTGAAAGTTGTGAAAATTTAGTTTTAAGTAAAATCGATATTACTATGATAACAAAAAACAAAAAAATTTGAAATTGATAAAAGCCGAATTTTGTGTGATCTAGACCTGCTACTGAAAATCCAACACTAGGAACTTAAAGTTTGGTGTTTGGCAAACAATCTCCATAAGAACTAAAAAATTCTGAATGTTTGAATTCGACTAAAACGAAAATATATTTCAAACCTTAAATTTTCAATAGCCGTGATAGATTATTTAATAAAAACGTTATAAATGACTCAAATTATTCTTAAGTAGGTCGGAATGATGTTTAATATCATATTTTGGTGCTAGGAAATTTTGGTGTACTTGCGTTCTTGCGATCTTGCTGAAAACTAGGAGGTTTTCTCACCACCTGTATAAGTGCAACTTCATTCAGAATTCGGACTTTTAGCGCTTTCTTGTATATCCCCGAAACGACTCGAACGAATTTTTTTAAAATCTCTTCACATAATCTTCATAATGTATATAAAATTGTCTAAAACTTTCATTGAGATTGATTTACCGCAACACCTTAAAATTCACTGTTTTGACGTTATACTAATGTTTCCAAATTAATGCGGACAATTCATATATCCATGACTAGTACATTTCAGTGTGAGTATTGTAAATGTTTTGCATTCAAAAACTAAAATGTACTAGTCACGGAGGTATGTATAGTGCGCATTATTTTGCAAAAATTAGCATAACGTCAAAACAGTGAATGTTGTGTTCCCTGGTTTTGCACTGCGCATCTGTTTTTTGCGCATAACAAGATGGCCGCCGTAAATTAGAGCATATGAAGTAACATCATTGAAACGGAGTTGACTGAAGAGAAACGCTATTGGAAGTTGTGCTTGCGGTTGTTTCTTGCCGAGGTGAGACTCAATGTGTTGGGAATGTGTTGTTTCTTGCCGAGGTGAGACTCAATGTGTTGGGAATGTGTATAAAGTAAGCAGTACGCGCGTTGCTGGGTTCGACTTCCTCACGGAGAACCTCGATAGTGGATGTTTAACTTGTACTTACTCACTTTGATTTACATTGAAACGCTTTCTTTTTCACATTGTGCCCTAAATGTGATATATCGATGTAAATTCTATAAAAACGGAGTTTTTAATACTTTCTTCCCCCTTTCACGTACATTCGATTTTGAAACTCTCCCCAGTCCTCTCTCAAAAATCGGAGAAAATGTATTTGGTGCGCACTTTCTGCAGCTCTACCGCCAAAACGAGTACGGTGACCCCCATTTTTTATTTCATGATTTTAATAAGGACAATGCTTCCTTTCGATGAGACAAAAATTTACCCAAATCTATGTTCAGTTTTTTGGCAATTTCACTAAATTGTACGGATTGAGCTATCACGGGTCGAATAGCGCGTGTCCAATTTAATTCTACTTCGGAGCATAAAGCAAAAACAAGGGCACTAAAAGGCTTTTTTCTGGTACGTAAGTCGATAAACAATACATTAAAGTCAAATTCTGTGCGATACCGCTTACATCATCGAAAAAATTCCTCCTTTTTGTCTAGTTTTGGGCTGCGTGCGGTTTTTGTCAAAGGGTCCTAAATAGTAACTAATTCACATTCGCATAAAAGCCACCTTATGCCTTTTGATGGATAAGTTATGGGTGAAAAATTTTGCATAAGGCATAAGGTGGGCTGATAGAGAAAATTTGCCAGCGCCGCTGAAGGGGAGGAGGGTGGGGAAACTTGCTTGCCCGTTGTAGAGTAGACTTGCGAGAAGACGGTATATTTGTTTGCTAGGGCCTATAAAAGGCCTAGGGAATTTCCCTGGGGACTGTAAAGGACCAATAGACTGCTTCCCGAGGGAGCACGCAGTAATCTAGTTGATTAAATCGTAACGCGGCGGCTTTTATACGAATGAGAATAGTAACTAATTCACATTCGCATAAAAGCCACCTTATGCCTTTTGATGGATAAGTTATGGGTGAAAAATTTTGCCCGACACCAGGGGTGCTATAGACTCATCCAAAAGACGGTAAATTATTGCAGAATACCTCATTAACTTGCAGTACAGCCAAATCTCCCCGAAACTCAGAACGCTAGAGTAAAGAGAATGTGGTTACTGATATCTAGGAGTTACGTCACCTTCTGTTTCTGCCATGTGACCTCTAAGATCACAAGTGTAATAGGTGAGGAAGAATAAACACAATATAAAAAGTGAGACGTCGCAAGGGAACAGCTGCGAGGGGGCACGGAGTATGCTGATGTCTGTTCGTCATTGTACGTTTCACAGACGTTAAAGGGCACCAACGGAATTAAAAACATGCCACCGAACTGCGTTGGTGAGATCTTCGTTTACGTTTCACAAACGCTAAGAAGCGTCAACGTAATGTCTATCCCTTGATCGTACGTTTCACAGACGCCAAAAGGCGCCAACGTAACTGATTAAAAACATGCCACTGAGTAGAGCTGCTGGGATCTTCCTTTACGTTTCACAAACGCTAAGAAGCGTCAACGTAATGTTTTTTTCTTCATTATACGTTTCACAGACGCCGAAGGGCGCCAACGTAATTAAATACATTCCACTGAACTGCACTGTTGAGATTCTCCTTTACGTTTCACAGACGCAATGGAGCGCCAACGTAAATATGTTCCGGCTCGTTTTCGTTCTACTGTAACAGACGCAAAAGACGCGACAATAATCAAATAAGGGTCGCCTTACCTCTGGTACGTTGCACAGACGCCTAAAAGCGCTAACGTAAACAAACTCCAGAGCAGAATGGTGAAAAAGATAAACGCCACCTATGTGACAAATTGACAAGAAAAGGGGGAAACGAGAAATTAAAACATGATACTTTGGTGGATGGTGTTGGTGCTGGTTGAGGTTCTGTCGAAGCAATAGCTACCGCATCAGCTGGGTCTGGTTAAACAGGGACGAGAGCCAAGAAAGAGCTTCAGCGGCGCTGGTCGTGTTGCGGAAGAATGAAACTTGCTTGCCCGGTGTAGAGTAGACTTGCGAGAAGACGGTGAATTTGTTTGCTAGGGCGTATAAAAAGGCCTAGGAAATTTCCCTGGAGACTGTAAAGGACCAATAGACTGCTTCCCAAGGGAGCACGTAGTAATCTAGTCGATTAAATCGTCACGCGGCGGCTTTTATATGAATGAGAATAGCCGTATTTGTCAGCACTGTGACGTCAAAACAACACGACCCCCACTTTTTATTACTTTTTTACCATCTCCTTGACTTGTTACATTAGTGTACCAAGTTTCATCTACAATCTATGTCAGGTTCTTTTACTAAAGAATCACCTTAAAGTAACGGATATTGAATACTGACACACCGTGAAAGACAAAGGCAAAAGTTATCGCGCGCAAAATACGATGCAAATGCAAATGTCCAAGGTATTTTTTCTTTTTTTCCAGGAATATTTCTCGTTCAGAAATAGCACATTTGCTATTGTTCTTGAGAGTTTCAAACTTAATTACTTCTTCTTAACGTCTAATACTTGCGATGAATATTTCGCTGTGCGAACACAAATCAGGTCAGATGCCAGAGACTTTTGATGCACGGTTGACCTGTGCGCCTACTTTGTTCTTTTTCATTGAACATTTATCTAGCGCCGTCTCAAAATTAAAATTTTTGGCGGCCAAACATGCCATACTTCAACCCACTTAGAACCTATTTTCTGCCCAGATCCAAACGACATACGACGGTATCACAGCTCGCGGGTTTGTGTGGACGACGCCAGAAGAGACAGCTGTCTTTTACAATAGCCCCTGATCAAGACTAGGTTTGTCTAGTCGAAATATTGGGCAAATAAATTTGTTACCCTTAGCTGTTCCGATCAGCCTTGCCTTCAATTTTAAGTGTCATTTACAATTGTAGTTTGTGGATAGGCTAATGTTTAAGATTTCCAAGAGAATCGGTGTCCTCGGAAGAATACGAAACAATCTAACTGTCGATGCAGCCAATAAAGTTTATCAGTCTCTTGTTCTGCCGGTTATGGATTATTGCGATGTTGCTTGGAGCAGCATTGGGAAAATAGAACGTGATAAGTTAGATCGAGCACAAAGAAGGGCAGCTAGGATTGTTTTGAATACCAAAGATTCAGACGCCGAGAAGAATTTAAAGTGGCTTCCCTTGCTTATGAGGCGTGATATGCACACTATTAGTTTGACTTTTAAATGCTTGAAGGGATCCCTTCCAGTGTTTTTTAAAGATTATTTTAAGGTTTTTAGAACAGTCCACAACACGAGGGGAAGTGGGCACAACTTGCTGCTCCCCAAAGTCAGAACGACAAGGAAGTCTTTTTATTTTAATGGATCTAAACTTTTTAATAATATTGCAAGTGAAATGAAGGTTTCTAAGTCAGTTCTAATTTTTAAAACTTGTATTTTGGAATTATATAGAACAAAAGTTTTTTAGTTACTTGTTAAGTTTTTGTATTAGTTTAGCTTTTAAATGCATTTTAATTATTGTATTTTAGCTTTATTTTAGCATTAAAATAACATTCATTATATTATTATTATTATATTATTATGTGTAGCGAAGACCAAAGTAAGCAATTTTCGTCGAGTCGGAACCGCTTTTTCCGATAAACTCCCGCAAGCTAGGACCCTTTTGCTCGTCCGCAGCTACTCTGGCGAGATTTTTCCTCGCAGAAATCTTTTGACTCGTCGACGAAAGTTAGCACGTCATATCGCTTGCTGTGTGCGATCGGCAGTGAAATGAATTCCCGTCGCCAAGTTTTAATTACATGACGCCACTCTAACCAACCAATAAGGTGGCGTCATTAAAATAACCAAGCAGTATGACACAGAACCAAGAATAGATTTACGTAAAATAATTTTCATGGGAAGAGGATTATGTATTGGGATTTGATCTCTTAGCTCGTTCTTTGTTGACAAAATACAAAGGAAAATGAACTTTGAAAAGATGTTAGGCTAACAATAAGATTTTCCTAATGTACAGATTTGCCACAAAATTTGAGAGGAGTGACCATTTTCACATAGACCATAATGCAAGTTGTTTACTCCTCAAAATTTTACATAACCATTGTCTTAGGTTTCTCTTGGCACGACCGTAAGACTCAGGAGAAATTGCGCAACTGTTTCCGGGGGGGTAAAGCAGGTGCATTATGGTATATGTGAAAATGAACAATCCCTGCATTGGTGAGTAGAGGTCCTACATATTACTGGTTCTCACGTGATGTCATCAAACCTCAGAATTAAGAACTATGACTTCTAAGTTTTTACTTTCATGAGGGCTTAGAGCCCCGAAATCGCGAGAAAGATTTTTTTCCGCTGTTTTCCATTTGGTGTCAACATGGTGTCTCCATACAAAGTTCATTTAAATTGGGGTAAAACATTTCTTGGAATATTTCATATACAAATCAAAGTAAAACAAGAACTGAATCTTGTTTACACATATATTTTTTTTGCTTCCAAGATTCTGGTCGTATTCTCTTGAATGGTTTCGTTTATTATTTTTGATGGCGTGACATTGATAACCAGGCAATGGTTTACCGATATGGAGGTTGCGATAGATAGCCTTGGTGGCATAACGAAATAAAAAAACAAATATTCCGTACATCTTAAGCATTACCTATCAAAAAATAAAAATAAAGTGACATACCGATCCACTCAAGACCCATCAACCTTGTTGCAAAGGAATGTTGCATCGAGTTCAGAAATACAAAAACCAGGAAAACCATGTACCAAGTACTGTGGTTGATAAACTTGGAGAAGGGATGCTCGTAGATCTCCCTGAAGTTCCACCAGCACCCGTCACCTTCGTCAAAACAAGGAGACTTTCGCAAAAGTCGAAGTGGAATGTAAACAAAACCTGAGATAGCGACCATGAGGAGTTGAACAATGGACCATGCAAATTTGGTTACTCTCCCCACATCCTGCCAATGCGGCCATTGATAGTAAATGATCCCATCAAGGATTCGCTGACATTTGGGACTCGCCACAAAGTGAGAATAGAAAGGCAATAGATATATTTAGCTTGAATGTTTTGTTTCTCAATTCAGAGCACGTGATGGTGCCCTAGAGAATAGTCTGAAATGTCATACGTCTCCACCCCTAACCTGTGGGGGCTGCGGGTAAAGAGAGACCCGCCTATGGGTTAGTGGGTGGAGACATATAACATTTCAGACTACCCAGGGAACTGTTTCTCTCAAATGTCGTCCTCCGCACGTGCATCCACGTGCATATTTATGCATATTTTATGACAAGACAAAAGGCAAATTCCCTGGAGAAAATCACGTGGTCTGTAGAAAGGTAAAAAGGGCTATTTAAATAACGTTCAACGATTTAATTAACACTGTTTGTTTCATAATTGCTAGAACTGCTTATCTTAATTCCCTGAAACTGTTTTTTCTAATTGTTGCTGTTGCCTCATTATTCCTTAAATTCATCATTAAGAAAGGCTTCCAAAGTGGCACAATAATAGAAATAAAAATTTGACAAAGAATTTGTTGAAATCGAGTTGTCATGGCAGCGTAATGAGGTCAATATACTTTTTTTACTCAGTGCAGTCGATCACTCAAGTGTAGTCTTCTCGATCAGACAATTTCTATGAGAGAGTTAGCAATAATAGTGTGAGGGCTTGATCTTTTTATCGCCTAGGTCTCCTAGTTCACTGATATACATCATGTAGCTGACACTCTTGTAATGGCGGGCAAAGTTCTCTTGCAATTGAAGGCTCTTTTTATAACGCGACGTCCGCTATCCATTCAACGCTAGTTCATCGTTTAATTGACCGGACACCTGCTCTAATCTACGCGGATATTCAGGACGAAGGCTTGCTTTTCAAACAGTGGAATTCGGCGAGGTTTTGCTTAATTATTTTAATCACCCTGGTAAGTCATAATACTTGTCTGTCTTTGATCTGATTGAAATCCCTTCCAAAACTACTCATAAGGACTTAGGACCACAAGTAAATTATAACGGGTAAGCCAAACTTTCTCTCTCTCTCCCTCAGCTCCCTCGCCATCCTCACCCGTCGCTTTATCTCAGACCTCGCACGCGGCCGTATAAATGCGAACCTTAAACGAAAATCACACCAAAAAAACAACAGCTATACGCAGGCTATTGCATTTTTAAACTCCAAACTTGTCTAGCTTGTTAAACTGTCCGAGGAATCTGCGACAATAAACATGAAAACTAAGAAGCGCAAACGAGCATTGAATTTTGGTAGGTACTGCTGGTTTTCAGTGACGCACCAATCAAAATAGATTAAAATTTGCCTTAGTCCCTTTCGGGTCACGTGGTCCGAGCGAGGAAGATTGACCGAGAAGGCCTGGGAAAACGCGGTCCAGGGACTAGGCATATGAGAAATGAAACAAGGTAAATATGCATGCAAAGACCCTCGCAAATATTAAGGTCAGAGCAGTTTTCCATATGCGAGATATCCTGCGAAATGTCTTACCCAAATTTATGGAGATTTGTATGGAGACGCCGTGTGCCCAACCGCATGGGCACCAATGCAGAAGCGGGAAACCAACAGAAACATCTGTTACTGAGTTTTGTTACGAAAGCGTGAATAGACCTATTTGGCTAACTCAGTGTTGTACCCAATTCAAACCCTTTGGGAATAAAACGTCTTTTTTCAGGAATTTTCATATCATTTAAATGAGAATGCCACATTATAACCCAAATACAAGACACAAAGAACTTTAATCACGAGAGATTTGAATTGGGTACAACATTGAGTTTAAGAGTAACTCCATGCAAATATCGACCAAAGTGCGGCAAGGCTCAAAAAATAAAAATCGCTCTTCTTTTGCATACTGATAGTCTTTAGTAAGTGTACAAACGCCATGTGCTTTTTTCTTCGAAAGATCTGTTCGTTTCCGAGAAAAACAAGAAAACCGTTTCAAGCCCCGCCGTCGATTTCGCAAGCCGAAAACAGGGTTGAAATTCACTATGATTCGCTCGACTTGCATTTCAAAACAACCGCGCTAGAAAAAAAGCTTGTTGCTAAAATTGTAAGTATAACTCGTCGTTGACCAAAATATATAATATTTTTAGCATTAAAACAGTCTGAGTAATTATAAAAAAGCTAAAGCGTATGTCTACCTGTTGTTCAACCACGGAAGGTAGTTGAAAAAGGGACGATTTTCGTCTTGTGCCTTTGATCAGAATTTTTCAAGATTGAAGGGGAAAACACTACAAGCATCAAACTATTATGTTATGTTAAAATTATTTTGGGGAAATCATTTTGAGCTTCTCAGAAATTATTTGAAATTCGTGTTACAGACAACCTAAAATAACGGCATCCAACACATGAGTCACACGACCACCACGAACAATTTGACTTTAGTTTTCCGTTTACAACGCTAGTAGCCTTGATATAGAACACATTTTTTAAAAAGCTTACCTTAACTTGTATCTGTTGTACTTCAAGCTCCAAGTTGTTTCATTTTGCCGTCTTATCACCTATGCTACCGTAATCGTGAAGTCCGCTGGAATGTGTGCGTTGAAGGTGCGTGACATCTTTCTGGTAATTTCTTCATCCCTCTGTTTTCTCTAATGTTTTCAAGTTATCATCTCATGTTTGTTAAATTTTTGAGAGCCCTGGACCTTAAAAAAGCCGTCTATAAAATATAGCTCGGTAGTTTAACTGTCAAAGCAAAGTTGCTTGCTCGTGGATCCGTTCACTTTAACTAATGTCATTTGCATAGGAGTGTGCCAAGGGTCTACTTCCGGTGATATACACGTGACGAGCTTCACCGACTTTCGCCCGTTACTTCCAGTACACTGAAGAAGATTCATCTTTTATACTCTTCCTTCTTCAAAAATATTCCAGTTGACATTATTTTACCTGACAAGTATCTTTAATATTTTGACATTTTAGGCATTTGATTAACATTATCGAATTAAATTTAGTTTAATTTGATTCTCGACAACCGTTCATTCCCACTTGAAAAAGAAAAAGATCTTTGCATAAACACTGTTTGTGTGCGCTCTTCTTCGATGAAGCTATGGAAGGTTGGTGCTCCTTCGAGTCATTAGTAGGTACTCTGTGTTCGTTTGATGGAAGGGATAAGCAGAGATCAACTGAGATTGTTCCTTTGTCGCTGTCAAACTATTAAGGACGTAACTGGACATAGGTCGACATGGTCTCTTTCTGGTAATGAAAGCGAAACACACTTTATTTTAGCTCAGAACTGACCAGCCAGACCATTCCCGTTGCACTAGATCAGTCAAATCCGAAAGAGTATGCTCGAAAGAGAACGTTTTTCGGCAAAACTCTTGGAAAAATCCTATTTCATTTTCAAAATGACTGGTCAGGCAAAGGTCCAGCTGGCCAGTACTGACAAATGGAAAGCGCCCTAAGTTCCTTTAATATATGCCCTTTCCATCGTTCTGAGCTCGGTATTGGATGGCGACGGAACAGTTATACCAATTCGTGCCAAGTTCCAAACGAAATCGCCGATCACATAATTGAAAGAAGAGGGAAACCTGTTAAAACCGACAAAAGAGTTAGAGGAAGAACATTTCAGAATATATCTATCAGCAAACCGGTATCCTCATTCCTGTAGGTTCAGGTACTCTTGGTTTATTCACTGTATTATATTCTAATAAGTCACTTAGATTCAATCTACGAATACTGTATAAAGTTTATCATAGTTGTCAACTCTCTTAGATAACCCAGAGTCTCCCGGGTACGGTACCAATCCACCTAATCTGTCCGATAAACCTTTCAGTTTTTCTCTTAGTTTGAAATTAAACCCAATTTCCCCCAGAGTAAATATATATTTTTTTAAATTCAAAGATCATAGTCCAGTTCTGATGGCATTTGTTGTTGTCGTTTTATTTTATTCTATTCTTTTTTACATTTACTTCAAACGACTGACTTGTACCTCATTCAAGACAACGTGTGCGGATATGGCGAATGACGAAGCCATTGACTTGAAGCTCAGTAGCAGATGCGCTTGCAGAATCTTACAAGGACACTGGGGATCACGAAGAGAAATCTTATCTATTAGGCACGGACCATTAGAAAAGTTATGGGGGGTTAGGTGGGGAATTTTTGAGCCGCAGGAATTTTTTTTCGTTATCAAATTCCTTCATGAATTTCAGTTTTAGGCCGTGGCATGAATATTTTTTAGGGTTAATTGGCGTGCATGAATTTTTTTTCATTTAATTTTCTCTTCCGCGAATACTTTTTTTTTTGTACTTCTCCTGCCCCCACCGCCCCCAATAATGTTTGTTTACATTCACGAAAAGTGACATTTAGCACAGCAGAAATTACATTTGTCCTCTATTAAGAGGGCACTCTGAAATAACGCACGTGCAGGCCAGGATTACCCACGTGCAGCCAACAAATGGAAGTTCCACCTGTGAAGATGGGAAGAAAACATGTACACAATTTTTTGTTAAGACATCTTTAGATGTGATAATGCCGACGTCTTGAAGCAATGAAAATCTTCAGGGAGGCTACCAATTAAATTCTCCATTTTCAAAAATTTTATATTATACGCATGTTTTACGTTTGCTTTTCGCCTGCTTTTAGCGGATCCAGACCCCGCGGCCCGGGATCTTGACAGTTGTAATCTGATATTACTGTTGAAAGTAATTTGCATACTGAGTCACAAAACGTTTGCATGGGCGCTTTTATATCCTTCAGATTGGCGCTTCCTTCTGCGGTGTCCAGCAGCATTTCGAGACAAAAGTTGTTGACAGATAAGGAAGAGAGGGTTTACTACGTGTTTGCTAAGCGAACTTTCGTTAGAAAGCATGCGTGTTGGTTATGAGTCTCAAACAGAGTTTAATATAGAATGGCAATGAACAGATGGCAACGGGAAACATTTTGCCGAAAAACTAGACCTGAAAAAAAGAATAGGGTAAGTATTTTAGCATTTGGAACTTTGTGCGTGAATATTACCAAGACTTTTTTGGAGAGACGTTTCATGACCTTTGCCTGGTCGCCCGACGATAGTCACGCATATGTTAAAGATGGCGTTACTTTATGTTGTCTGTAAAACGATTTTCAAAAGAGAAGCTCAAAATGATTTCCCCAAAATAATTTTTACATAACGTAAACGTTTGATGCCTGTAGTGTATTCTCCTTCAATCTGAAAAAATTCTGATCAAAGGCACATGTTGAAAATCGTCGCTGTTTTTAACGACCTTTCGTCGCTAAACATCAGGTAGCCGTACGCTTTAGCTATTTTATAATTACTCAGACTGTTGTAATGCTAAAAATATTATATATTTTGATCAACGACGAGTTAAACTTAAAATTTTAGCAATTATTTTTTTCCTAGCGCGGCTGTATTGGAACGCGAGTCCAGCGAATCATGATGAATTTCAACCCTGTTTTTGGCTTGCGAAATCGACGGTGGGGCTTGAAACGGTTTTCTTCGTTTTTCTCGGAAACGAACATATCTGTCGAAGTAAAAACTACATTGCGTTTGTATGCTTACTAAAGTCTACCAGTCTGCAAAAGAAGAGCGATTTTGATTTTTTGAGCCTGGCCACGAATCGGCGATTTTGGTCGATTTTTGCATGGATTCGCTCTTAATAGCCGATAGGTCTATTCATTTCTCGAGGAACTCACAAACATTAAACTAATAGTTTTCTAATACAAGAACTGAAACAAGTCCCTTTTTTAATCTACACGACAGCTCCTTCGGCCGTCATGTAAAGAGTACCGCGTCGGAGTTTAGACAACGGCTAAATATGCAATAATCTCAGCCTATAGACAAAACAAAAAAGTTAGCCGTTTTTGTTATGTATGCCAAGTGACTTTATTGCAATTTTTTTTTTGTTGTTTTGTTTTATTTTTTTTCATGTCTGTAAGGTAGATTACATACACCCTGCGTCATGCTTAGGAATTATGCAAACGCACTCTATAACAAAACAAAGAGTCCTTTCAAAGCGCAAATTTGTATAAATATTAGTCTTCAACTGCTCTAATTTCTTCATGAAAGAGGACCTATAATTCTTTAGTTTTGAATTTTGATGACGTCGTCTTCTGAAAACCAGAAATTACATTTCTAAACTCAAAAGTTGTCTAGTGAAACTGTCCTAGGAATCTGCGACAACAAAAGTCAAATGAAAACTAACAAACGGAAACGAACGTTGAATTTTGGAAGGGCATATAAGTAATAAAGCCATACATACCAGCTTTCTTTCTTTATCAGCAGCAGTCTTGAGTAGACTCAGACTCTGAAATTCCCTGGCTTCTTCATTAAAAGACATCCAGTTCCCTTGTCATCCATTATCTCAAGGAGTTGGCCCCAAGTACTTCCTTCAACAACGTCGATGGCAAATTTTTCATATGCTTCTGCTCGCCTCGTGTACTCGTCTCGGCTGTAATGATGCTCGTACAGAGCAATTTTCTCCAAGAGATTAGCATCGTGCAGTGCACCTTCAATGACGTCTTCCCTCTTTGTTCCTTGTTGATTAGAAGAGGTCGCTGATCCACCGTTTGGGTTGTTCCTCCATAACCAATTCAAGCAGATATACAGTGGATCGGAAAGTATGTTTATCCACTGTTGTTCCTCTTCGCGTTCCAGTTGGTACTTTTCTCCTCCCCGTTCACGTCCGCTTCGGCCACATCCACATGGACCGTTGCATCTTATTTGGCTCTTAAGTTTGCCCTTAACAGTTTCGCAGATACTGTAAGGCGTTTTTAGAGTCTCCTGTTTGCTACCTTCTGCAATAAGGCGCCATACCTCACCAGCGTTTTTTTCTGCGAGAGCTTTAAGAAGGTTCTGTCTGTAAGCTGCTGTCTCATCTGTAACGGTGGTGTTTGTACCATCTGATTGGATCACTTGCTCTACAGTCCCGTTACTTGCTGCGTTAAAAGACTCGGCATGCGTTGAGTCGCTGTCTTCATGTTGTTGTTCGTTTTGATCAATGGTGGTAGCTTGCGCCATGTTTTTTTTTAACGAAGCGTGCTGTTAGTACAGAAAACTCGGTTTTCCCAGTTTTGGGTTGGAGCTCAGTTATTTATCAGGATTGGAAATCAATTCTTAGTTAAACTGCTTTTCTTGGAAAGGAAGTAGGAGTTGACGTGTTATCTGACCACCAGAAAAACACTTCACTGACAGCTATTTACATCTCAAATCAATTGCAATAACTGAAACACTTCGCAAACCCTTTCATGGAAAAAAGGTCATGCATGAAAAAGGGCAAAATGCGGTCGAGTTTGTTTTGAGAGAGAATGGAAGCTTTTCAATTCGTGCAGTTAGAACTATTTAATGTTCTCCGCCATTCTTCGGCCAGTTAACTATGCTTACCGCTAGAAGCTAAGTGCACCGACGTCTACGCTCAACAAGAGATTGGGAACGATTTTTTGATTCTTTAGATTTCGTCAAAATGTCAAGAATTCTATTATTGATGATAATAATAGTGTTACAGTCAAACCAGGTCAAGCGTACCCCTCAAGAATACATTAATGAATTTAATATTCAAAAGTTGAATCCGTTGCTAGTTGTAGATTTCAGATTGATTTCTGTATTCTTGCATGTGTAATGAGCCGTGAATTCGCACGCGAGGCAGTTATGAAATTTCTACCAGCTCCATTTTCCTGAAATTGATGTAAATGTCTTCTAAGAAGCTTAATCCATTCAAGGATTTCCAATCTGACCAAATACAGAGAAGTTCTCGTAAAATATTCACTGCTCATTACCCATGCAGAAATGCCGCTTTGAATTTGACACCAGTTACGGGAACGACTACGGATTCATTTCTGAAATAATCAATTCATTAATAGAATCTTGGGGGGTACGCTTGACTTGGTTTGACTGTAATTCCTGGCGTTTTATGATTGTATTACCTTTAACTACTACTATTTAATTAATGAAGTAATACTTTTTATCTAAACCAACTACTTCGTCATTATATTTTTGAAATTCCTTCTGCTCGTATTCTAGATCTTGTACTACAGGGTTAGTTCTACGAACTATTTAGGTGTCCCACTGACTCAGTCTGCCCAATTATCAACTTGCCTCCTGTTACGCAGGCTGGCAAAAACAAAACAACAGAGAGTTATTATTTCCTTGCAAAAATTGTCGCCAAAATTTTTCCCCGAAATCGCACATGTGAGCCTGCTCGTAGGCTAGTTTTAAAATGCCAAAGCAAACGTAAAACAAACAGTTAAAGCGAATAATGTTTCTGTTTCGCTGGTGCGTGCGAAATCCCACTCGTGTACCCACGCACACACTCCATATGCACGTGCTCGATTGAACTACCCCAGACTACCTATTTAACATTCATAACTGAATAAAGGACTGAATCGTACCTTTCGCCGTGAAAAGTGAAGTTTTGCTTTCGATTAAAACAAAAAAGGGAACAAGATTAAGATTTTCAAAAAAGAAAACATATATTTTTTGCTGTAATCTTTGTTTGTAATTTCTTTGTACTATATCTTCACAGTTCATGTGCAAGTTAATGATCCATCGGGGATGATCACCAGCAAAATCTTGGTCAAGATGTATATAGTTGTATTTTTTATCATTTGATCATTTTCTGAGAAACTGCAATCCGCATGAAGAAAAGTTCAATGAGAGTAAAAAGAGGAATGTGTTTCCGGAATGGGATTTGGTGTGACATTAGGAAATTAGTCCATCAGCTGAAACCGGAAATGTTTACCCTTAACACAAAAATGCATGGTAGCAAGGATAAAATATAAATTGGCCCCTCATAATCTTCTTTTGGCCGCCATCCTGGATTTTGAGAAAGCCTACAAAAGTTGCTCATATTCTTTTAACGTAAACAAATCGTGTTTGAAACGTAAATTTAAACATATTGGAGTTGAAATCATGACTTCTGTTTGTAATTCTAGTGCTTAAATTATAACCGCGTTATGCCCCATGTGAATCAACATCGCCTGTTATTAGTCACGCAATAAGACCGGCAGTTTGCACTTTGTTTAATGACTATATATTGAAAAATTGTGAGGCTTACATTAAATAGCTTCAGAAAATAGTAAGTAAATAAATCGTATGTGTACATTGCAAGTGTGCTGAATAGAGTCCCCCTCGAAAACAGTTTCTTGCTGGACAACCATATATTGTGCTTCCATGTTCCGGAATCAGCCCTGTTGAGCTGAATGTGAATCCCCGCACATCTCATCAAATATCAATGCAACGACCGAACTGTCTACGTTCACCAACAAGAGAGATTTGCAACCCACTAAGCTTGTCCATACAGAAGTAAGTAATGACTGACTGCCCGCCAGAGTAAGTGGAAGCAGCCAGGGAATGAATTTGTTAATATGAGCGTTTGCTAGATCCAATTCCACTTCAGATTACCTTGATCCAGTGAACACACATCCAAGCTGATGGCTGTAGTAAGGTTCGTAACAAGGATCTAGTATTTCCTCTTGGTATGAATTGCGATTTTTTGCGCGAATGGCAGGCACTTCTCGGACAGTTTCATCATAATGACAAAGTTGTTTTCACACTCAAAACAACTTTAAGAGTCCTCCAGATCTTCCTTGGACTCTTACCTATCCTAAATGACTCCCGCGAAAGACAAGCAAATCCAGACTCTCCAAGCAGCTAGAGTGACGCATCACAGTCACCACGAAATACCCAGAGAATTAGTTGCGATGAAATGATAATCTTGCAGAAGTTGTAGATCTCTTCTGGAGCTATGTCCCATTTACTCGTTTAGAGAGTTTGAAATGGTAACAAGCACCGGCAGCAGGCACGTAGATGACGTGTAGCACGAGATATTGATTAAAAAAGTCAAAAAGACTGAAAATTTTGTCTACCTCATACAGTTTACAACATAAGAACTTTCTTCCTGTCTATACAGTGAAGTCATGGAAGCAACTGCTCAGTGTAATAACCTAACTCGTAAGCTGAAATCGTCATATTACTCGTGTCACAGGGCAAAACCGAAACATTAAGAAGCAGGCTCGGTAACCGTATCATGTGGGCGTGACAACCGAAGACCAGTGCTAGCGACTAGACGCAGCTACACAGTGAGAACCTGTTCATAAGGTACGGTTCAGTCACGAAGAGGCTGATACGCGTATTCACCGGCGAAAAATGTCTGCGCATGCTCTACAAAAAATGGCACGTGATCTATTTTCGAGTTCCATGCAACTCGGTACAAAAAGAAATTATAAAGTAGTGGAAGAAAAATTATTGGGGTTTGTTTTGGTATATAAATTAGCTTGTACCGAGTTGCAGGGAAGCGACAGTTTTGTTAAATGTGTATCCCGTTTTTGTGTCAAAATTCGACTTTGATTGTGAATCTAACATTTGAAAACATTCGACTGTTGATCGAAGAGCGTATTACAATGCTATCCAAAATGTTTTTGACTACGCATCACTTTTCTAACCTATATAGTAAAAAGATCATATACCGTAAATCTTCTATTTAGCCCCTCCTCTCAAATAAGCCCCCCCTCTCCAATAAGCCCCCCCTTTTCAGAGGAGGAAAGTTAATAAGCCCCCCTCCCCCTCCCCCAATCCTTATTCTTCACAAAAAAATTAACGATTAACGTGGACTAGTCAGTTATGGCTTATTCACGCTGAAAGTTCATATTGTTTTTGGTCTTTGGCCGCATGACCTCCAACTTCATATGCTTAACTTTCTCAACTTTGCGCTCTAGTTCTCTGTCGAGAACATTTTTGAAGAATAAGAATTTTGTTTTTGTTACTTTTAGGCTCCCACAAGTGAAATAAATACTTTTGACAGTGACTTTAATTGTACAACGCGTAAGTCTACTCTGTCTCATACCACGGTATTTTTGCTTCAGGTGATGCGTTTTGCTAAATTAAATAAGCCCCCCGGGGGGCTTAATAGAGGATTTACGGTAGTATAATCAGTATTTTTTCCAACTAACATATTTGCAATCAAAGTTCTCTTCTTTTATATATAGCATTCCCCTAATTTTAAAAATTTCATTATCTTATTCAGATCAAGCACAGTAACCATTGAAAAGAAAAAAGAAAAAAAAAACCTGCTCGGTCATAGACGGCTTTGAAGTTTTGATATTAAAATTACAATGAAAAGAACATGAATGCATACACTTCAGTTCATTTAGCTCAAAAAGCTCATAAATCAGAAAGTCTTGCTGGAGAAAACATAATTTTTCTTTATCTTTTTGGTAAAAAAAAATAATAATAAAATAACTTCCACGTGTCTAAGCAATTTCAAAGGACCCATAGTGTCTTATTTCTCCGCTGCATTGAGCTGTGAACAAAGGCCGTTCTCTCTAGTTACCCGGCTTTCATCAAAAATATTGTTGTCCTTCGTGATCGTGAAGAGTTCAAAGTTGAATCCGGTAAACCAGCCAAAACGCGAGCATCGCAGGGAACGAATCCCATAGGAATAGGTGAAAAAGGATAATAAAAAGTCTAGGCTATTCTAAAAATATCCGTATATGCATTTACAACTCATATTAAGCCGCAATTAATCTTCTTTTCACTGGAATAAACAAACGATGAGGGTATTGCCGCCATTTTGAATTTGGCAATGTCACGTGGTCGCGAGTCGACCAATCAGACGTTTTTCGCTGGTGAAAGATACGCGTATGGTTCTCTATGCTAGGCATGCGCACAGGAATCTTGGCATGATGCACTCTGATGAAACTGTTATGATGACCTTGACTTTGAAAAGTGCTATGTGAAATAGGGAAGAGGCACGAAGACCAGAATAACAGATCTTTCTATGCAACTCCACCCAGGCAATGTTAACCACTACTTCATTAGAGTCCTTAATATCGGTGTAAACTCGATCACTAGCTCTG